TGCATGATACGTGCATCACTTTCAAACAAAGTATTGGACTATATGTTACATCTTCAAATTACATGTTTTCTATCTTTAATAACCACTAATGCAATAATTAATTACGAGTTACACATATCGAACAAAGAGGTAGAAAATGAAATGTCAAAGGACTATACCTGCAACTCTGCAGAGCATAATAAATTTGGCAGGACAAATTTTCCCTACCCCCCCCCACACACACACACACACACACACAAAAAAGGCGATAGTTTTACCCTTGCTCATGAAGGCTTCAACTGAAGACTTTTAATGACGGTGAATAATTTCTTCTGCTATATATAGGCACATCTCCTTATAAAATGTAGCATAAACTGCATACATATAATCTGATGCTTTTTTAGCATTTAATCGCGAGGAAAGCCACAGAGAACGATTTTGAGAAAAATTTTCACTTTAATCCTACTCATCAAGGTGCAAATTTTTTGCTGAAAAACTTCAAAATGAAATTTTACTTCTAAGAGATTAGTCAATAATAAATACAACAATATTTTTTTTGTTTGCGACTGCATAAACTGCATACCTATAATCTGATGCTTTTTTAGCATTTAATCGCGAGGAAAGCCACAGAGAACGATTTTGAGAAAAATTTTCACTTTAATCCTACTCATCAAGGTGCAAATTTCTTGCTGAAAAACTTCAAAAGGAAATTTTACTTCTAAGAGATTAGTCAATAATAAATACAACAATACTTTGTTTGTTTGCGACTTTTTTCAAGGATATATTATTATATCTCAAGATAGACCAGAATCACTGGTTTCTGAGCAGGCGGCCTCCTGTTTTCTTACAAATAGCGAGGAAAATTTTCTTTTATTGCTCACAGCAATACAGGGAAGTATGTCACAAACAAATGCCTATTTAAAAGATATATTTAAGGAACGCAGGACCGTCGAGATACAGTCTCATGATAGCGACAAGGTATACTTAGATGAAGCCGAAAATAGCGCGCATCCAGCTCCAAAGAGAGAAAACTCCGCCCCAAAGTCAGCGCACAATCTTGAGGGCAATGACCAGTAATTAATAGAGCAAAATGCTTTAGATGTTAATCATAAATTTAACGAATCTGACGAACAACCTGATGAGACTTCTGACAGGTTGTGTATATTTGGGGGGGGGCAGAATTTCAGGAGATAGATGATGAGTTTGACAATAATATTCTTCTCAAAATTATAGCTCTAGTTGTGTCTTCTAAAGAGCAAACTGGGTCTCCTATTACAGCGTCTCTTGCGAAAATTATTAATTCCTAACTTGCAGATGATTTTGATATTTCTAAATTGAAAGAAACATTAAATAAATACATACGAACTGAAAATTGTGATCAATTGTTTGTACCTAGAGTAAATCAGAAAATATAGCAAAATTAAAGCCATTTGCCTAGAAGGCTAACATTAAAATGGCCAACTTACAAGATAGCCTGATAAAAGGACTATCAGGCCTAGAAAATAGCATTAACACATTGCTCGTCTGTAGGGGAAGTAAAACCAATCCGGATTACAAATCCATTATCCCACAATTGCTTTATACTACAGCACTATTTGGCAACGTAAGCAAAGAGCTCTCCTATAAACGTAAAGAGGCCATTTGCCCTATCTTTCATTCTGATTTCAAACCACTTTGTTCACGGGCCCGCAAAGTTGGATCTTTGCTGTTTAGGAATGATTTAGCTAGGAAAGCACAAGGCAATATGTTTTCAAGCAAAACTGTATTTAACCTAACTTCCAAGTCATGCCATAGTTTTAGCAAATGCTTATCCCCCAGCTTCGCAAAATTTCAGGGAAATAGGTCTTTTTTATCTCAGAGAGGGAGGCACAGTTTCCTTCAAGGAAAAACCAAAATTACCAGACTCGAAAATCATCCAAAAAAAATTAGAAAAATTAAAACATCAGGTAAATAACTTTCCTGTCTTTATTAAATATAAAGTTAATCTTTACAAATTTACTGCTTTCTCCAATGGACTCTCTTCTTGCCTTAGAAAGCTCACTAAACTGTTTAAACCCATGCTAGCTTTGCTTCGGATGAAAAAGCACATTGTTTTAGTTTATATTGATGACTTATTTTTAATGGGTCGCCGGTATGACCGCTGTAATGATAATGTCGTTAAAAAAATAATATTTTTAGAGAAACTTGGTTTTGTCATCCACCTTAGTAAGTCGGTATATATTCCAACCCAAAAAAACATTTTCTTGTTATTCGAATGAATTCACAAACATTGTCAGAAGATGTCTAGAGTAAAGACGAAACGTCACAATAAATTCAATTTTACAATTTTTGGTCTATTTCTATAGCTCTAATTAAAACTTTATGTAGGACATTAATTTTTATTACTTGAATTCACAAACAATGACAGTACGACTTACAACTGAGAAAAAGGGCAAACTTATTTCCCTTCTTACAACCATTGTTATGTATAAAGACTTTACATGTCGTTTAACATTGCTGCTTTTTATGTGGAGAAAGAGGTCAAACTGTTCATCTAATTAATACAAAAAATAAGGTTGTGTCAATGAAGAAATGCTCCTTTTTAATTCAAGAAAAAATCAAACAAACTAGGGTGGGACACCATATTCCACCAATTGTTTTCGAGGCTTACCGTCATGAGCCTGAGCTCTGTATCGTTCGGCACCTAGCGGAATACATCAAGCGAACAAAGAATTTACGAAGTCAAGAGTGCCAAAGACTTTTGATAAGTTATACGAAACCGCACAAACCGATCTCGCGTGAGACAATATCGCTGTGGTGCAAGACAGTGTTGTCAGCGGCTGGTATTAATACAAAGGAATTTGGCTGTCACAGTACCCGAGCAGAATCTACATCTTGTGCAGCTCATAAATTATCAGACACCAATCATATTATTGAGTCGTACGGGTGGTCAAAGGCCGCGACTTTTTAGACATTCTACCATTAACCTATCAAGACTTCATTTAATCTTGGTTCGACAATTTTCACACCGATAGAGAATAATTAATAAGTTTTTGTTTTTAACCTGTAATATGTAATATGATATTTAACCGTGACTGCTGGAATTGTTGTTTTTTCTCTTAATAAAAAGATTTAAGTCTGATTCCATTGTTCACTGACTAATACGATAAGTTACGTCACGATAAAAACACATGTCAATGCATAATTATTTTCAATTTTGCGGCAGAACATTGTCAATGCACTGCCAGTGGCGTAACTAGAAGGTTAATTGAAGTGTATATTCATATATTCAGTTGTGCCCTACTGATTTCTTTTAAAATTCAAATTACTTTCAAAAGAAATCAGTAGCGCACAACGGAATATATGAATATGCACCCTTCCCCCCAATTAACGTTCTAGTTACGCCACTGTGTACCGCAACAGCTATCGTCTTTACTAAATTCCGGTGACATAGTTGATAAATGATTCTTGGCGTAAACATGACCTAAAAAGGAAAGATTTTGTGTCTACAACGATGGTTTACCTCGAAATTACTTTGAGATCTTTGTAGTATGACCCAAAAGCGTCAGAAGATTTTTATTTGAGGATGGGGCTATATTCGTAAATACATGCTTTACTGTACCATTGAAATCGATTGTGATTACAGATTACAGGACATATGAATACAGCGTTTCCCTCAATTGACAATCTTCTGCCGCACTGTGACCTACAGATACACGATTGGCTTCTCAGGTGCGGTAAAATGTTGTCTCGATCGTACACAATGACAGTTCCAATACAAAAATTTATGAGTTAGCAGACACTAATTTCCGTTTTTATGTATATTAAAATGACTTCTACTCTCTTTTTATTTCTGCACCGCAGTTCCCACAGAAATTGGCTTTTTGATGGTTAATGGCTGTGCCACATGTCTGACAAAACATCAGAAAATTTGTCTATAATAACAGGTCTCAAGCTTCTATTCGTATACGAGAAAAAATATGATCTGATCATTCGCTGTTGAATTGTGTGTTTGTGTAACATTGTGTGCTTCCATTTGTGTTTGTCTACTTCCATTTGTGTTTGTGTACTTCTATTTGTGTTCGTGTACTTCTATTTGTGTTTGTGTACTTCTATTTGTGTTCGTGTACTTCTATTTGTGTTTGTGTACTTCTATTTGTGTTTGTGTACTTCTATTTGTGTTTGTGTACTTCTATTTGTGTTCTTGTACTTCTATTTGTGTTTGTGTACTTCTATTTGTGTTTGTGTACTTCTATTTGTGTTTGTGTACTTCTATTCGTGTTCGTGTACTTCCATTTGTGTTCGTGTACTTCCATTTGTGTTCGTGTATTGTACTTGTGGGCCACCGTAGTAATGCCTGGCACAAGAAATGCACTAGTCATTGTTGCTAAGTAACGTTTGAAAATATGATAATTTTGCTAATAACGACGCAATTTGACAAATATTACACTAATAGACTGTGGAGCATAGTGGCAGCCAGTCAATTACCTTTTTCGGCTAATAGGAGTTCATAGATTGCTAGCCGCAGCCAGTAATCTAATTAAATATTCAGCACCAAGTTGCACAGTGGAGTGAGGGGCTGTTAACATGAGCCCGGGTAGCCGGGATTCAGCGAAGTGTTAAATCATTTTGGCAAATGGAAAAGATTAAACACTTCACAACAAAAACTTATTTCAGCAATTTTTTATGCTCTGACTTTGCAAATTCACAAAACACTTAAAAATGAAAACAAAAAAATTTGTCAGATTTGAAAATTACAACTAAAATGACTTATGACGCTTAAGAAAAGATTGTAAGTTTTGCGCTTAATATTTTTACTCCTTTCAATGACTCAAATCATTTCACGCCTCGCTGAAACCCGGTTACCGGGCTCATGTGAACAGTCCCTGAGACTACTGTATGTTTCTATACTGTGCTTAATCCCGGGTACCGGGCTCATGTAATCAGCCTTTAGATATTCAATGATAAACAGGAAGAATTTTCAAATGCGTGCTGAACTTTTTCAAGAATATTGCCCCGCATTTTGTTGAACAAATTAAGTATTTAGCGGGCTATTTCATGTTTATTTCACTTTATTCCCTATTTAACTCGTTAACTTGCACGTTGAAAAATTATAGTGATAAGTATTTATAGACACTTTATACTGACTTAATCTTACATACTAATGTAGATGTATGTAAAATTGTCGTGATTCTTATCATTTTAAAAAGTACTAAAAATTATTATGTAATACAAGTTCATTAAGTAAAAACTTGAAATAGGTTAAAAACTAAAGCGATGTGACAATGAAGGATTATACATTATATGTGTGCGTGTGGTTCGTTGATGTAGCTATTGTAAGTGGAAGTATGCTTTCATCTTAAGCAAGGTATCCCGTGACCAAGGTTTGGCCCAAAATATAATATGTTCCCATGGCCAGTTTCAAATTACATATATAATATTTCACAATAATTAAAATTATTTGTATCCATCACCCATAATGGGGAATCTCGATTTCAAAAATCACACACTCTATCATTACAATTATTTTAAAAACGTTTTCGAAGCCCCCTGCACTGATCTCATCGGAATGGTCCTAATCTTGTCTACTATCTTCATCGGACGAATCGATCACAGTTGAAGTATTGGCAACTCTTGAGGTCAAGCACCTTCAACGCTTTATCCAATTTCAAGCATAAATAGCTTTTTTCTGAGACAGCACTATCATCATCATCTATTTCACACACAGCATAAGCAAATGGCTGCCAAACATTTTCTCGATCTTTGAAATAAACGAGTCTTCCCGAGTCACCATTCTGCAGAAATGAAGATTTACTTTTTATCTTGACGGCATTTTTGTAAATGAGTTTCTTCAAAGTTTTATCAATATAAGAATAGTTCCGTTCACTAATAAAGCCCTTGGTGTAATTACTTATACAGACTTCTACCAAACCCTCATTGCTTTTTGTTGCTTTGTAAAGCTCTTCATTTTTCTCCTTCAAATTCAAAACAATATTCTTCATATCATCACCCCCGAGTTGCATAAAATCTTCTTTCTTTCCTACAGGAATGGACATGATGTCCGCTTCACTGTTAAACTTACTGACCGTGTTGCAGGGAAAAGTATTCAGTTGTTTTTTCTTGTTCAATTTAGCCGGTTTGTAGAAGTACTCGTTTCTATCATATAAATTGCGGGCATTTACAACATCATCAATTTTCGACATTTCATTCTTTAGAAGAAAATCATTCCCTGGGTTAGAGACACAAGCAACATGTGCACATGTCAAGGCATAATACTTTCCTTTGTTACGACAGAACATTGTCAGAGTACTGCAAGAACTATCGTTATTTTGAATGTGAATGTCACCATTGAATGGCAGCGCACAATCTTCAGAACGGGGGTTAGATAATGGTCGAAACGTTGGTGTTTTTTTGGCATAAACTTCAATTCTATGTAGTTAGAAGCTTCCCATCCAAATATATCATCAATCTCTTTTGTTAAAATAGATTCTGGATAATTTTTTTGGTTATCAACTGTGATGTACAAATGTTCAAATGCAAAATTTTTGTTTGGACTCACTATACCATAAGCTCCGCAAATCCACGAAAAACTAAAGGGTATGGAAAAGACAGGTATTTATCAAACAATTTAAAAACAGAATATCCAAAGTAAAATGTTCATTTTAGAAATTTGTTTCATCGTCGAGTCTATTCTATTATAATCATATAAAACTCAACCTTAAATATCTAACTCAAACTGAAGAATATTTCTTAGAATATATCAAAACTCCTATCTATAAATTAAAGCTTACTTTTTGAGTATATCATGGATGTCATCTCGAATGTTGTAATCTTCGTCAAGAAACTTATCTTTAAAGACTTCAGTATTGTTTGATGAATACTCAGGTTCTAGAATAACATAAAATGTCTCATTAAAAAAGTTATGCAAGAATTTGTATTTTCATGTTTAACAGTTTTTGGAAACAGAGTTGATGGAACAATGGACAACTCAGAAATCAGAAGTCAATTGTATATTTAAATTATAAAAACTGTTGGGGTTACAGTCAGCTATAAAGCTATTAAGATATACAGTTAGTAAATGTCATTACCTTAATGGCAGCCTATCAATTGCAGTTTTTGAGCAATTAAAAAAGGTACGCTTAAATGCTAAAGATAGTATTCTAATCAAATATGCAGCCCCATGCATATATCGGTTGCCAAGCAAGTGGTTCTACTAGTCATTGTACCGTATGAAACTTATCCATGGTAGAGTTTGCATGGTAATCCCACTCGATCCCTATATGTTAATCATTACCACTACATTGTTCGCTATAGTTGCAAACTAGTTTGATTAAATTAAATTTTTTAATAATGTGTCATTTGTCCAAGAACAATAGCAAATTATGTATGAATGCAAATTTCGTATCGTAAATGCTTAAACAATATTGAAGAAAAATCTTTAAAAATTCGTCATGGTGAATTTCAGCTCAATTTTTCAACACCTTGTTTCCAAGACCAAAAATTATCATATGGAAGTTCATCAAACGTGTTTTCATATTACACGACTTCTTGTTTTTGTGGACAAACAAAATTTGCTGCGTATGTAGTTGTGCTATATTGGCATTTAAAAAAAATTGTGCTCAAAAATTAAGGTCAAAATTAAAACTTGCCTTCATCAATATCTTCATAAACATAATCCTCCATGTCGATTGTTTTCTCAAAGGTAGTATAATTATTTTCGGTAAGGAATGTTTCATTCCTCTTTTCCTGAAAGAAAAAGTATGAATTAATGTATTTATTAATAAAGTAAATGATTTAAGCCCCGGGAGTATCGTTTCATGTTTTTACATGTCGTTCGTCCAGGTTAGTATAGTCCTGAAAAGGACTGTTTTTGGTAGTCATCTTCAGAGTCACCACCATATGTCATCTTCAGAGAGCACCACAATCAGAACTCTAATAAGACGTGCACAAATCATATGTTTTTCACCGGACGCTCTACACAACGAAAAGAACTATCTCATACGTGTTTTTGACAAAAACAACTATAACTCTAACTTTATCAAACGCAACACTTACAAACTCAACGAACCCAACGAAACGAACAACTCGGCGACAACAGCAACGATACCTTATATCAAAGGTACTTCTGAGACTATCTCGCGTATCTTACTACCATACAACATACGTGTCGCACATAAACCAATCACAACGTTACGACAAATACTAACGAACATAAAGGACAAAGAATAACCCAACGAACGACAAGGTGCTGTTTACAAAATAAGCTGCTCCGACTGCCACGCTTTCTATATCGGTGAGACTGGCAGGAACTTAAACATAAGACTTATTGAACACAAACAAGCTAAAAAGAAAAAAACCAAAACCAATCACATTGCCGAACATCACCGACTGACAAAACACAACAATGATTGGGACTCGGAAAAATATATTACTTACAGTACTGACTATAGACAACGGCTTACATTAGAAAGTTGGTATACGAAATTGGTACAAACCCCCTTAAACAAATCACAGCAATTACCGGCACCTTACAAACGACTTATTCACAATACAAACAAACGATCAACTAAAAACTTTACCCTTCACACTAATCCACAATGACAATACACAATTGACACTTACATATTTCCTGTACACACAGTACAATGACGTAAGAACCATATAATAAATACGGCTAACCTGACGTTTTTTCCTCATTTGATTCGGAAGATGACTACCGCTAACGTTGTCGAAACGTCAGTCAACAATAACAAAGACAGTCCTTCTCAGGACTTCAATAACCGAGATGATCTACATCTACAAACATATATATTAATCACGCAATGTGATTAAACTTTTGATGTGGTATACAGATGAAGACAGTTAATGTTTTTGCATTAGTGGAAGAACACAGTAAAAAACAGGTATTTGTAATGCTACGTTGTTGTAATGAAATTGAAAGAAGGATGGCCAGATTATTACTACAGTGATGTCATGTGCTTCCATGTATTTTCCCAAAATTTCATATAACCGTCGAGGAACATCTACAGGAACCGACTTTGCATGTAGGACGCGTTCAACGACATCTGTGATAGATTCGAACTCGAATTCAACACACAAGGAGATAAGTTGCTTATGAGACTCAGATTGTTTGTGACAGATAATGATAGATGTCTTTTCAGCAGGAAAATATTCTGCAATATATATTTAAGATTACAATAAAATTGCATATATAAATGAAAATTACAGCAGCTTTTTACTTCTCGAATATAAATTTATCAAACAAGATAAATGCGAAGATATATTTTGACAATACTCGAAGAGATTGCAACATTAACAAATTGATAAAATAGCACTTACTTGGCGTGCTAATTTTCAAGATGAAATCATTGAGACGTTCAGCAAGAACTTTTGTTTTGTTGCATTTTCCTTTAAATATAATAAAATACTGTCCCTTGGTTGGAAGAGGCTTTTGAAATAAGAGCAGGACATCTGTTTCTTCCTGGAAATTGAAAATGTGGATAAAATCGTTAAAAACGAATACTTTAGTGTTAGAAAGAGAAAATTATTTTAAAAATAAGCAACTAGTAAATGCTTAAGAAATGACACTGAGTATATTAAAACAAACGCAATAGGGGAAAACTCTTTTAAATGTTCTCACAGCCTTCTTGTGCGTCACTCATTAAGAAGTCCTATTGAAATCTGTAATGGTATGAGGTATACTTACTTCACATAAAGCTTTTGATGGCGTAATATCTTGGATTGCAAACTTTTGCAAATCTGCAATCACAAAAAAATTAAGAAATATTTCTAGTGACATGCTATGCTTTGTAGCAGCAGTCAAAGGTAACATGACATGACAGCTGTAATCTACTGCATATGCTAATGTGTATATCATAATATTTGTAGTTGAATTTGCTGTTAATTAAAAGCATGAGGAAAATTTACTCACACACCTGACTCGTGTTTTTCAGAAGGTGCCTAGTGATTAAAATGGAAATGAATTTTATTTTTTCACACATAAATCATGACTATATGTACCAAGAAAATACCTTTAATTCTTTTATAATATCTTTTGGTAAATAGCCAGTTTGACCCTGGAATCCAACAAACCACCAATAATTACCACTTTTGTCAAAAATTGTGACTTTCTGACCTTTGCTAACTGACAAAATATTTTTTCCTTTGCTCTCATGTGCAGTTATCGTCCTTCCTCGAGATAATATCTTGATAGATTTGTCAAAAATAGGTGCTGCCAAGTGAGTTACTGGCACCATTCCAGTTTGACCATATCGATTGCGCACCATCCAAAAGACTTCTTCATTGTCACTAACAACATCCAATATCTCGTTTTTTTTAACTGAGAGATCATATTCAGTACTTCCTTGGAAAGGATATAAAGCGATTGCTTGAGGCATCGCTTACAGCTAGAAATAAATTAAATCAAATATATATACTTCATATATAGCTTATATATAGCAATCTATAATAAAAGTAGTTTATTCGAAGTATTCATATCATAAGTAATAGCATAGCTATTTATACAGTTGAGTGCATATAGTTTATATACGTGTTAAAAGACACCAGCTCTGATTTGAAATTTATACTTTCCCGTTTCATTTTTCAAGCATTTTTTAAAAACCATGTTGTTTGCAATGCATGGTTAGTACAGTTTTGATTGGTTTGACTAATTTTCAGTCATAGCTTGCTTAGAAATTAGTTTAAGACGTAAATTTTATGCATGAAATACTTAATGTTACATTAAAACGTTGCATGAGTTTATCTACACAGGAGAGACAGCATTAAAAAAAGAATTTTTTTATGAACTTAATATCGCTCACTCTTAAGAGATGAAATAATTATTTTGATATCTACTGACTATATATGTTGAAAGCTCAAAACGATTACAACGCAGTTGGTAGCCAAACGCCGAATAGTTTCAATTCAAAATAAAATTTATTTGTAGAAATATGGTAATTAATACAATAGTTAAGCTTATGTCAGCAAAAATTACGACTGGCAGAAAGCGTTTTAGTAAATCACAAAACCATTGACACTCCGTACTAAGTAAACATTTTATTCTTAATTAATAATAGAATAAAATGTTTATGCGTAAGGTTAATTCTTTTGTGTTTTATGGGAGCAAATCAGCATATGTAAGCAATCTATGTACAAAAACATGTAAAACTGTACTATACTTGGTTTGACAGTGTCCTTTTAGTAAACAAGTTCTATCTTATTTTTGACCTAAAATTTCGTGTGTTTTGTTGCCACTTTTAAATTTCTGCGCTGAACTTTTTTAATGTGTGACAAACGAACCGTGAGACAACGTCATAAAGAATTTGCTGGAAAACATATAAACGAATGTTTCTGGTGAAAAATGAAGAGCATTCCGACTATACATTTTAAGAGTCTCTTCTCGCTGACATTCCTAACTCACGTACACATTAGAATAAGCGGTTAAAAAGTTGAAATATAAAAATTGCAAATTAATAAACAATTCAAATATTTCTTCACGTAAATAAGTTAAAGTTTATATTGCTCAGTTTACAACTTAATAAGGCATATTTACCTTCGATAGGCAAAATAGCCTGCCAGAAATGGACGAATATCAACAGTCTTGACTTAGCCAAACGAAAATTAATTGGAGGAAGTCACTTCTTCGTTCAACAAAAAGGGAAAATTTCGTCAAAGCTTAAATTCACTTAGTCTGTAAATCAAAATTTTAACAAATGTTACAATTCAACTATTTCAACTCAAACGCTAAATCACATTCGTAAAATTTGTCGTTAATACAATATTTATGTACAACTGCATAGCTAGTTCCGTCATATAAACATTACACGTACAAATAACAATAATATACTTACAGCTATAGCTACCTACTTCTGTCAATTCTGCTGACATACTACAAGAAACAAGTTACAATGTTGAAATTTTATTCCCAAGCCTGTTCTGAACAGTTCAAAGCATTTAAGAAATGCTCAAGCCTTCGCAGCTGTTTGTAAAGCTGTATATAATCGTGCTCACTGACCATGAAAACAATTCATTTCAGACAAAATGATAAAGTGGATAAAATTCCCACATTTTTAGAATAGCAATGGAAATATTTAACCAAATTAATAGTAAGTGCATCCTTAGAATTTATTTCATGTTTGATCAAAAGTACTTACATGGTCCCCCTCCTAAAAAAGTATGCTTCACTGAAATCTGAAATTTGGTTTGAAAAACTGTGTTGTCACTGCTGTGACATTTTTGGTAATTCAATTTAGTAAAATGTGCATTAGTATAACTTCCTGCTCGGCCAAATAACATATCGAAATGCAAACTTAAAGGTAAGTTATATCTATAAAAGTAGACATAAAGGTAGACATAAAGGTAGACATAAACAAAGTTAGATATTAAGGTAGACACAAACGTAAGAACATTAAAAAAATACCTCACTCATATGAAATGACGACTTAACAATTGTTGTCTCTTATGAAATAACAACTATTTGAAATGTTGTATTTGTTGTCTATTCGTGCTTCATGTCGTTCATGTCGTCTTTTTTAATGGTCACTTATTACGTCTTTTTGAAATCATGTAAAGTATACTAACATTTTTATAAGTAGCTATAATCGAAATAGTTGTGTCAGCCTTAACTATTTACCTTGGATTTTTTATCAAATGTTTTATTAATTACAATAACAAAGAAACAGAAGCGGAAATATCAGTACATGCCAGAGAATAACGAAACAAAATACTGATCTGCTCAAACAGGCGCTCCGGAAATCGTGCAGAGATGATTCAAAAGCGCATAATAGTTAAAAGAATATGGCTGAGTTTACAAAATTGAACATTTCCCTCCTTATTTTTGACACAAAATAATTCGATCTCTTAGGAAAATATCTATTACAACACAAGCATACTTCCACATTAAAAATACCAATATCAAGAAACAGAACCAGTTTCAAAAATAGGAATCAGCATTAGGAGCATCTTTGTCGATTTCACTAAAGGTTTTAAGAAGATAAATACACAATATCTCATCATTCATGAAAGAAAAACGATTAAACAACTTAATAATACTGCTTGTGAACAGGATCTCACTGACAGCATTTATTTGAACAGTGTACTAGACACCTGGGCTAGGGTTAAGACGCGCAAAATTCGAATAAAGCTAACAAGATAAATACTTGTTTGGGGATAAAGATCGTTCAGATTAGTAGAGTCCTGAGAAACACTGTTGGCATTGATGTAGAATGATGTTTCGACAACCTTAGCGGTAGTTATCTTCAGAGTCAAGTGAGGAGTAAACTTCAGGTTAGCAGTATTTGATATCTGGTCCTTGCGTCATCGTATTGTGTGTACAGAAAATGTGTGGGTTGCAATGAGGTATTTACCGGTTGCCAGTCTCCTTCAAATTTGCGCGGTTTTTGCAATGCATTCTGCGGTTTTTGCAATGCATTCTGGGATCGCCAGAGGGCAATTATTATATATCTTTATAAATTTCGTATATCATTTCGTAATTTACACATATGAAAGTCTGATTTTTCTCTTAAAACCATGGAAGCAGTCATTATCAAGCTTAAAGTGCCTATGAAATAAAATTTTTAGAATTTTAGTTTTGTTTTTCGAAAGAATTTGTCGTTCAGAGTCTTGAACAAAAACCAGAATTCAATTCCGATTCATAGAACTTATTTTACAGCGTGTCAAACATGCAATTTTCACTCCATTTTAAAAATTTACCTGAAAAAAAGACTGGTACCGAGTTGTGACGTATGCTAGACATTACTAGATTGTGCTCCTGGTATTTCGGTTTTAAAACGTACGAAATGTCGTATAGTGAAAGCTTAGAAACAGAGTCATAAGTGTCACATGTAAACGAGAACATGGCTGAACAGTCGTCTGTTGTTCAGCCATATAAGTTTGAGCCACTGGCCGACAATGAGTACGAGGAACAAGAAATAGACGAAGATGGCATTTCAAGAGCTGACCTAGAGACAAAACTTAATAATGCTGTATAATAAATGGTTTAAGCCCGGGAGTATCGTAACATGTTTGTGCATGAAGATAGTCCATGTTAGTAGAATCCTGAGAAGGTCTGTTTTTGTTGTTGTTGACTGACGTTTCAACAAACTTAGCGGTAGTCATCTTCAGATTCAAGTGAGGAGTAAACGTCAGGTTAGCCGTATTTGTTATCTGGTCATTGCGTCATCGTATTGTGTGTACAGAAAATGTGTGGGTTTCAATGAGGTATTTGCCGGTTGCCAGTCTCCTTTAATTTTATGCGGTTTTTGCAATGCATTCTGGGATCGACAGAGGGCAATTGATATATCTCTTTATAAACATAACATTTTGTAAAAAGTCACTACTAATACGAAGGTTTCTTCTAATCATCTGGCGGTTATCGATCCGAAGGCTGTCCCAATCCAACTTTGTATCTAAAAGGATACCAACCAAAAGAAACAAGGAAACGATTACCGCCGAAAGATACAAGCAAATCAGATATTCCGAAAAGAAAGAGACGAAAAATTCTGTGTTAAGGCATCACTAAGAAAAGCTTTGAGCATAACAATGAGGCATATTGTGCAGCTGAAATCACCGTTCCCGACCAGTGTACTGAGCTAGAGTCTGATCACCAACACATTCCACAAATTAATTGTACAACACACTTTGATGTTGCAAGTTATGATTCTGATAGTAGCTACAGCTTTGAAAAGGATAAACATGACCTCGTTCACTGTAATTGCCGGGGCAATGTTGAAACGTTGAAAAGAAACTTATTTATTGAACAAGCTATTTTTCAGAAGAATTGCTACCGCTACACTGAATAGTCACTAGAAAAGTTGAACTGATTAAAGAGAAAGCAAAGAGTCTAAGGTATTTGAGAGGTTCTACTGATACAGCCACCACCCAGCCTATTAAAAGAGGCATGTCTCAATAGTATTGACAAATTGGGAAGAATTCATTCTTACTCTTGTCAGGACACAAAAAGGATTTGAAATCATATTTTTGACTGATACATTTTCTGTTTCAGCTAGTCATGTTCCCCGGATTTATACGACATGGGTTAAATTCCTGTCACTCTTTTTGTCTTGGACAAGTCAATCTGATACCTAAGCGATTTATGAAATTTAAAAACTTAAGAATAATTATTGATTGCACAGAATTTTTTAAACAAAAACCTAAGATACCTGAGAGCCAGAAAATATCTTAGAGCAGCTATAAGCACTGCAACACTGCTAAACTATTAGTTGGCATTACCCCAACTGATTTTTTTTCTTCATCTCACCCCTATGAACTGGTTCAATATCTGAGAAGGAAATTGTCGCTCCAGTCTCATAAACTCGCTAGAAAAAGGTGATGGTGTCATGTCTGATTAAGGGATTCCTTGTTAGAGATCTACTTGTGGTGAAGAAATTTCACCTTATTTCTCCTGCCTATTGTCGTCGACCAAGAATTTCCTCTCGTGGATTAGCTCATACTCAGCGTGATGCATCATTGATATCTTATGTAGAAAGGAATATAATGAAGCTAAAGCAATTTCATATTGCATCAAGATTTATTCCATTGTCATTGAAACTAGTTTTTGAAAACATTTTGTTTCTGTGTGCCACTTTATGTAATTTAGGAAAGCGTGGCATAAAGTAATCCTTACATAATGTGAAATAAATTATACTTAATATTCTTATTTTGAAAACTATTATTTGTTAATATAAAATTTTGTCATTGCACGTATTTCAATAAAAGACTACTAATAATATAATTCTTAAGGAAAACAAACACAGTTTTAAATACATCACTCCAGAAATCAGCATTAAATGGTATTTCTACTATACCTATTCCTTTCCCTGTAAATAGAATAAAATCACATTTGTTGATTTTACTTAAAGCAATAACAATTTTGACTTGAAAGTAATATAAATGTTTCCTGTTCAAAATTGTATTTCTACTATTATTAGTTTTCCCACCAATAGCTGTTGAGAAAAATGCAGATTTGGGATTAATATTCGTGTATGTTGGAGGGCACTTAATTTCAAGTGTCCTTGAACAACAGCATTCACATTATCAAATTGCATCCAAACTCACTCCCATCAATAAATTTTTGTAGTCAACAAGCATCAAAGTTCTTTTATTTTAACTTTTTCATGCTTCTTTGTACGCAGTCTCTTGTAAAGATGCAGAGCCTCTTTTTCCTTGTCTAGTCCATATTGCATAGCATTTGAGTTTATCAAACTGTTCTTGTTCTAAAAATTAGCAACAGTTTTTGTTAAATCGGCTGAAGGGTAGCGCTCTCTTGTTTTTTGTTTAGTGTAAATAGCTTTGACATTTTGCTTGTTACAATAGCATGTCTCATTTTATGCCATTCTTCATTTTTAGATTGTCCTTTTGTTGCAGCTGTAAGGAAAAATTGTTCTTCTTCGCCATTTTCCTGCGAGTGAAGTCACTGAAGTTCTTTTATCTGACAAAAACCCTTTAAGTTCAAACATACAAGCACCAAAGTTTTTAATCGCATCTCTGATCTGAACCACCTTTACATTTACAAAATGCAGAAAACACAGAGCCGTTTGGTGAAAGTATGAACCAGGATCTGTATTCTTTCATGCCTTTGTGTTTTCTCCATTCGTTTAGGTAAAACACTGCCAATGATAATGTGAAACTTGCTATCATAATTGTCATACACAATAGTTTCACATAAATTCCTTACATGACCATTTTGGTGTAATTTATAATCATCGAATATTCTTCAAGATTCCAACATTTCTTTGTCATATTCTGCTTTACTGACTACTAAATTATTAAAAATATCCAACAGTCCAAATGTTTGTAAAGCTGACATGTCATATAATGTATGGGTCATCAACAGGAAGTGTCAATCATTCTTGAACACAATGCTCCAAGGAATCCTTTGAAAAATCAAGATCAATTCCTAGTTTTGCCTCTTCAGTGGCTTCTGCTAACTTTATGAGATCAGATTTTAAATATTTTGTAGTTGGTACACCACGGTCACTGATATACTCTTTCAAAT